ACTTCATCCAAGGTTACTGCGCCCAATACATTCAGCCATTTTACATTACCAATTTGTCGGAAGGGCATCTGCCACACAAAATCTACCTAATATGCTACTGTAACTACTAAAACTTTAATTGCAAGAAACAAAAAAGTTAAAAAGTGTGAAAGCTACGTTTCTCCAAGGTTTTTTATTTACCACTTTTAACGATAATATTTTTTAAAAAATTCACATAGAGGAGAAATTATAGACTACTTCAGAAAGACAATGTATAGTTAATATAAAGTTCACATTTGAACATACATCCAACATGTAACTGCAGTCCAACATGATAACTGTAACACGGAGCAACCCTTGTGTAACTTTGCGCAAATATTCAAAAATAAGAATAAGCAGAAAAATTCGGCTTTTTATACACGAATAGAAAATATAATTACATTTAAGTAGTATTTATCTTGTATAATAATTATGGTAATAATATGACAAAAAAAATATTTTAAAGAATAATGTCTTTCGTTTTGGAGATCGTTGATGACAATAATCTGCTTATGTTTATATATGAAGAACGAGCTGGCCAGAACACCAAACTAGTGTTGCGTCAGCGAGGTCACGTGACTAGTGTCACGTCATCTGCTTTCTAGAACTATCCCGTTCCTTCGGGAGTGCTCTAGCATTTACTAGATTGGAAGATGGTCTGGTATATATAAGATGGTCACGGCGTGACGTGACAATGTGTGTGTGTAGACAGTGAGTAATTGATCTGCAGTCAGGAAGTATTGTTGAAGTTAACGTTCGTTGTTAAAACGTTTGTAAAAGAGCGACTGTTGAAAATAAGTGTATCGGTAAAGTCATATTCAGAAAGAATAAACCAGTTTTATTAAGTAAGGACTTGTGTCGCTAAAGTTTCGTCGGGACGAAGTTACGGAAAATCAATTAACAAACGGAGACGTAACACTAGTAACAACTGATACTAAGTTAACCTTAAGAAAAACAACGAACATTTAGTTATCATAAATTTTAAATTAAAGTTATTAAAATGGATAATGATAATAAATTTTTGTGTAATCATAATCTTTCATCTATAAAACAAGCCAAGCTTCTTAATGGTGTAAAAGCCTAACAAGCACATATAAAAGAACGCGTTGAATGTATGTGCTATTGTTGTAGTTTCTTACTGCAAGATGGGTTGTTTGAATTCTGTCCATCGAGGGGCATCAAACCCCGGATTTTTCCTATTGAAAGTCCGCATACTTAGCCCTAGCCCACGGGGGGGTGTAATTGCCACATGTTCTACATAAAACATAACATTTTTTATGCTTGTATTGCGAATTGGAACAGTGGGACATGCTACAATATAGTTATAAAATGACTGCTTAGGAATATGTCTAATATAAAGAAAGAGAGTCTAAAACAAGAGGATTTGGTCTGGTTCATGATATGTCAAGAAATTGGTGATACCATATCTACGAGTGCCAACTTGTAATAGATGCAGAAACATTCGGCAAATGACCAAAAACCTAAAAAAGATTTGAAATTTACATTTCAATAACAATAATTATAAAAAAACTAGTATATGGTTCCTCAAAAATGTCGGGTGTAAAGAAAACTCTGTAAAGATTGCTATAAATTAACTAACAACATTTTACATTAAAAATCACGTTTATGTTTCATAATATTTCTTTATACACAACACTGACAGTGGAAATACCATCAGTATTTTTCAATTTCTCTTGGAGCTGTGAATCAATAATTTTTCCTTCATTTTTTCTTTGGACGTACATCTGGAAAAGGCCATGTAAAGTTGATCAAACGCCATTTTCTTTCTTCTGGTGTTTCTTCTATTTGAGTATTTATTAATTAATATTTATTCACAACTTAAAACTTTTTAAATATAGCTTTTCAACTTTCATGGGAGTATATTGTTTAACGTTATGAAATGAAGAACTGACAGTTTGATTTACGTGCTACAATTAATGGTATTTTTATTAATATAATCAGTTGTTTTTAAGAATGCGTTTAAACTTTAATTTAACTTATTTGGAGGATCTATTTCAAACATATATATAATTTAATGGACTTACAATAGTAAAAATTATTTTGTAATGTAAGAACTAATTTCAACAAAACAAATGAATTCTAAACTGAAAAACATAAGTAACTTTATATAATAAAGTTTCTATTGTTAATAGTTTTAAATAGATTTCAAAATTAAAATTTACCTTGAATTTTGATGGATATTCTTCTTGCTACCTCCGACCGGTTAACTATTGCTATTAGTTTTCAAACTCGCCACAAAAGGCGCTTATGACAGCGTGACACGAAGACAAAAACTGTTTATTATTTAGATAGATATGGATTACACACAGAAAGTTCTGCTTGAAAAGCTATTAAAGTGAGGATATTGAGACCAAGAAAAGTGAAAATACACCTCTAAGAACTTCTATTCTGTTTATCTCCATCATTATATTTTTATTATATCAATAGAAAAAAAATTAAAATTTTAACGGAAAGTAGAGGTCGTTGGTTATTCATAGAATTGCTATAAGAAGTATCGAAAACAAAATAAATACTTCAATAAAAAGTACACACATAAGTAAAGTGATACTAGTAGGATATATTTTAAAACGATTTTCAATCCCTACTTTGGTTGGCATTGTGGTCCGTATAGCTAAATGAAGCAGTCTAGTACTTTTTATTGCGGTATTTATTTTGTTCTAGATACTTCTTTTAGCAATTTTACGAATAACCAACGATCCCTACTTTTCGTTAAAATTATAATTTGTTTCCTATTTATTTGTTCAGTTTTTATATGCCCATGGAATGAACACAACATCTATAAACTTTCACTATAGCCATATCCCTGAGAACTATAATGTTTACAAGAATTAAGACCACAATCACAAATTTATTAAATTTAATCTTTAATTTGACCTATAGATAAGTGTATAAAGCTGCTAAAGTAGGGATTAAATTTTATAAATCTGTGATTGTGGTTTTAATTATTGTTTCATTATTTTTTGTAGCAGGATCCCTACTTCATTTTAAAATTCATAATTTTTAATACTCTTGTTTGTTTACTTTTATGTTATACCTATATAAAGTATATACTTTACCTTTAGAAAATGTCGCGTGTCTATCCATTTTGAATTGGGTTGAAAAAAAATATTATAGGAGATTATGTTTATGTCATTTAGCACCAAAACATTTAATAATTTATTTTTCAGTGTGAAAATAAAAATAATATAAATAGATTTAAGGTATTAGTAAGCTAAAATCTCTGAGGCTAATTATGATTCAATTTGTATTGTTTTGTGAAAATTTTAAGTACGGTAGTAGTTAATAATAGGGATCGACAAGGGTTCCAAATAATTCACGCGCCGAAAAACCACCCTATCGAATTTCTAAGCAAAGAACCAACTATTCAAAATATTGGTTACGATGTTTTATGCGCATATATACTAATAATACATTTAAAAAGTCGCTAATATTTCCGGTATGACAATTCAAAAATTTCTAAAACAGCAACTTTTTCGTCAATTACCAACCTACTTGCACACGTCAGCGGGGTTATGCCTAGACGGCTCGGACTATCACTACAAGATTTCTCCAGCTTACTTGACTGGTCTGGGGTATCCGCTTTTGATATTCCGATAAAAATCCATATATATATACAGGTATAATATAAATGGTAAACATATAATGCATGTACTTAAATGTCAATTACAGTATTATATTAGGATAAACATGATGTTTTATTTGTACGTAATAACCTTTATTCTTTATAAAGAATAATATTCTATATATTAATAAACATCTTCAGAAATAAGATTATTAAATATACTTTTATAAAATTGTTGCATTTTTTTTTCTATTTTCTTGCTATTATTGTTTTATACTTATTATTCTCCAATGAAACAAATAGCTTTACCGTAGATGGAGAAGTTCCCCAGACACACGTATAAAAATTCCACACTGAAATATTGGCTGTATCAATGAAAAATAAATACTTTTTGACATCTGAATGTTAAAAAAATTCTCGAACACTAAATTTGAAAGAATATAAATCTCAGTGTTTTTGCCAAATCATTAATATACTATATCCAGTTGAAATGTTAACAATTCCTAAGCCAAATATTTTATAACAATCTACTCTTTCAAGTTGTTAACATTTCCGATTTTATATTTATACACCTATTATTATGAATACACAAGTTAAAATGAATTGTTTTATTTTTTTAATAAAAAAGCATACATTTTGTTTTAATTATATTGAAATTACATATTAAATAGGCCCGATATGGCCTAGCAGCTATCATACCAGGCTGTGGATGAGAAAAACCAAAGTTCGTGCTTTGATGCTGCTGAACGACGCTCCATACTTTCGACTTTGTGAGAGTTATGAAAGTGACAGTCAATCCCGTTACTTAGTTCGAAGTTGGACATAACCCTTGTGGCGGCTATGGCTGCTTACTAGTTACCTTCGTTCTGACCAGTAACTCAGAGTGATTAACCTGAATACCATGGATCTCTGTCTTAGCTGATTAGCTCAAGGATGTATAAGGTGCTGTTTAGATTGAAAAACACCCTAAACACCTGCACTATTACACCTCTATAGGCTAAATAACCCATTTTCGTAGTGTTGGGCGATAATTCATTAATTTATAAACTTAGAAGATCCTCTGAATCCATTCAAGAAATCCACATTATACTGAACAAAAAACAGTTATAATATATCCCATAATGTTTCCCGCTCTAAGTCATTGTTTATTGGAGAGCGAAGAATACTGTAAAGCATAAAATCACAAACGTTACCAGTACAAACATACAAGTGTGTTATACGATACTTAACAGTTAGTACACACATCCTGAAATTTAATAAAACAACGCGGGAACGTTTCAATAGAAAATCACCTGTTGCTACAAGCTATAATATTGATAAGCGCAAGCAAAGTCAATGGCCATGTTTTCCTGCTGTTAATGTTTAATCTACACCATACTAGTAAACAGGTGTTTCAATGTAGAGATAACATATGTAAAAGTAGGTGAGGAACAATGATATCGCTAGAACAAATGTGAAAGATGTGCTTTTTCAATGACTTATAGAACAAGAATATACAAGGTTTGTAATATATGTAAGGATATATACGTATGTACTATGTTATAATGTTAGCTTCTCGTATTTCATAGAAGCGTGTACAGGTTTGAAATTATTCTCGTGAAAATACTAAACTTGGTGCTTTTCCTTACAATCCCTCAGGAACACAGCGATAAGTCTGTAACGCTAAAAACCAGGTTTAGATACCCGTGGTGGAAAGAGCATGAATAGCCCATTAAGGATTTTTGCGCTTAGTAACAAAAAACATGTTCTTATGTTAAGGAAAACATGTTTTCTAGTTTTAAACAATGTTATAAAGATAACAGTTTAAAAGACCATAATATAATTGTTATTAACTTTTATAACTATCCAGATAAGATATAGCTTTAAATATACAAAATTCAGATAAATTAAGGGTTTTAAGGTGCTAATAAAAATATAGGTATATTTAAAAATAATAACTTGGTGTAATGATCGCTGCTTTTATACTAATTGTGTGCCAACTATCTTTCTGTGATAATACTGTTTATAAACTCCTTGACTTGAACCATATTGTCTTGGTATAATGATACTTTTTATAGACTCTTTCACTTGTTCCAAGCTGTCTTTCTGTAATAATAGTGTTTATATACTCCTTGACTTGAACCATATTGTCTTGGTATAATGATACTTTTTATAGACTCCTTCACTTGTTCCAAGCTGTCTTTCTGTAATAATAGTTTATATACTCCTTAACTTGAACCATATTGTCTTGGTATAATGATACTTTTTATAGACTCCTTCACTGGTTCCAAGCTGTCTTCCTGTAATAATACTGTTTATATACTCCTTGACTTGAACCATATTGTCTTGGTATAATGATACTTTTTATAGACTCCTTCACTTGTTCCAAGCTGTCTTTCTGTAATAATAGTATTTATATACTCCTTGACTTGAACCATATTGTCTTTGTATAATGATACTTTTTATGGACTCTTTCACTTGTTCCAAGCTGTCTTTCTGTGATAATAGTGTTGTATTTTAGATCAATCTTTGGATTGAGATTATACAATAGATTTATTTTAAGGACTCGAAAAGTGAAGGTAATTTCTGTGATTAAATGTTCACAGGTAAGTAATCTTTCAAAGAAAGGTATATATTTTTAGGATTATAGATAACGCATGACATGGAATTTATTGTATATGTTTTTTTGTGTGATCACATTCGAATGATTATTCGATTTCCAGAATTAATCCTTAAGTTTTTTGCGTAAAGTAGGAAAATAAACCGATTGTGACAATTGACATCTATCATATAACATCTTACACTATGTAATTAATAGGTCTGACGTGGCCTGATGGTTAGGGCGCTCGACTCGCAATCTGCGGGTCACGGGTTTCAATCTCCTCGCCTAACGTGCTCATCCTTTCAGCCGTGGGGGCGTTAAAATGTGACGATCAATCCCAATATTCGTTGTGAAAAAAGTAGGCCAATTGTTGATAGTGGGTGGTGTTGACTAGCTGCCGTCCCTCTAGTCTATCACTGCTAAACTAGTGACGGCTAGCGCAGATAGTCCTGGTGTAGCTTTGCGCGAAATCCATAACAAACAAATATTTTAATTATTTACCTATTTATTTTATCTTTATCAAAGACTAGACTAAGCAACAGACAACGATACATGGAGTTTTATAAGGATAAATATCTTTATTTATTTATTTCTCATTAAACTCTGGAGTTGGTAATTCACTATATTTTTGACCAAGGTTAGTTCGTTTTCACACTTTTAAGTTTCCAGCATTCTTATTATTGCTGTAGGTACAGCTAGGCCTAAAGTGGTAATATCAAAGTCTAGCAGTGCAGATACATACCTCCTTATATTTCTCCTTTCCGTTGGATAAGCGGTATGTTTATGGATTTACAACGTTAAAATCTGTGGTTCGAATCCTTATGGTGACAGCGCACACATAGCCCACTGTGTAGCTTTGTGCTAAAACAACAACTACACCATTTTGCTTTTTTTAGCCTTCCAGAACGATATCTACTTTAAGAAATAGGCCTAGTAAGCAAATGATTAACTTTTAAATTTTATATAGTTAATGCATAACATATATCTTATGTGATGCGACAGGACTCTATGATTGGAGGGAGGAAAACCCGTTCTTTAAACGGTGCCAAATAAACTCTTCTAGTGTGTAAATAAAATCAATTATGATAAATAAAATAAGTTATATGTTGAAAAAAATTCATCAAACATTAGACCTCAGAAGTTGTATTGGCGAATCATCAGTAAAATTATAAATTGAGAAACTTCTATTAACCTTCACCTTTAAATCTTGTCTGATGTTTGTTTACATTTCAGACCATAGGTCTTCGGATCACTTTTTTAAAAAAAATGGTACATAGATATGACAAATCAAAATAAAGAAAAACGTGTTAAACAGAACTCATTGCGCAGATGGCCAAGTTTCTTTGCGCCAATAAACACCAACAACAGAACTAATTTCACGTTAGGCCTACTTTGTCGCCCTCCTGAGGCTCAACTTAGTCTTTCACAGGTCAGTAAAACAACTAGGCAAGTTTTTTTACCCAAGTTTTTCTGTTTATAATAGATTACTTTGTATATTTTATTCAGGTGTGTTATCATGAAAATTTATTTCTTAGTTCATCTATGATAACTGCCATGTGCTCTACGCTACACATATTGTTAAATTTCACCCGTGCAGTTGCCTTTCCGAAGATAAATATGAGCAATCAGAGAAACTGCATATTCCCCCCTCCCCTTTCCTTTTCGAGATTGCATTCGTTTATATGGGATAATGTAAACTTTTACCTTCAAAAACTCAGAAAATCCTTCTCAGATCTACAATGATCAACGATCCGGATCATTTCTTGTAGTGTGATACGAAGTCTCAACCTAAATGTACTCATGAAAGGCG